AAGCACATCGCGATGACCTTTGCAGGACTGCGTGGGAAGAGGGAGGAGACGAGTCCTCGGGACCCCGAGCCGCCAAGCTCCTGCTAGAGCGAGGAGACCAGCCCGCCCCCCACAAGCCCTTTTTGGGGGAAGTGCAAGCCCCCTCTATTGGCAGTTGCCCAGATTTGGACTAAATCTTGACCTGGAGGCAGCCAGACTTTCAGCCTGGTAGGATTAGGGTCCTGCGAAGGCGGCTGTTACCTGCTTTGACTTCCCATATTCTGTTTCGTTAGACGACCTTGTAGCTTTTGGTGCAAAACTGGGTGTGGGGGATTGAGTCAGGTGCTTGACGCTTCATGCCATCCCAGCGCTAATAGCCGTCCCAAAAAATGAAACCAGCCCCATCCCTCACTCCTCCTTTCCTGAAGTCCTCAATACCTTCCCCCTTTTCCACCGAGCTTTTCCTGACCTTGGCTTACAAGGCGTCGTGCATAAAACCTCTTGACTGTGGATGTTAAAATTACGTATGTATTCATCTTCCCTCTGCCTTCCCCATATCAGTCCCCACAAGTAGCCTCAAAAGAGCTGGTGTGTTTTCGTGTTTTATCCTACAGTTATTTCTCCATTGACTTGGTGTCAAGAGAACCAGTTCTGATGCAGCAAATGGTTAATTAAACCCACCACGTGGCTTCCTGAACTGCTCCCAACTTGTAGCTTGTGGCAAAGTGTGTCAGTTCTCTTCCCATCGCACTGCCCAAATTAATATTCATTGGAAAAGGGACACAACTCAGCAGAAAAATCAGCCAGGTATGTCCTACCTGTTATAGACTAGCCTTCCCCAAACTGGCACTTTTTAAATGGGTTGGACTATAACTCCCATCATCCCTAGCCAGCATAGCCCCTGGCTAGGGATGATGGGAGTTGTAGCCAACCATCTGGTCTGGGGCAGGTTGGAAAAGGCTGGTACGGACCGTTTTGTCCGGGACTGGTGTGTTTTTCTGTGTAGTTTCTTTAATCCTGCTCCAGGGGGCAGCCATGGGCCGCCACGGTTTCAGAGCAATGTCTTTTAACAAGCATTTCCAAGTGTGCTTTTGCATTCATGTGCCTTTTTCTAATCCTAAGACTAAACAATTAAATGCAAGATATACCACATGGTTGCTGGTCTTTAAATGACACCCTTACATGCTTTTAATTTTCATTATTGTGAGATTTTCACTTGTCTTTCGTCAAGAGCCATGCTGCTAATTTGAGAGCCAGGCATGGGCAGGCTTGAGGCTTACAGGGTTCGCACTTTCCCTTTTCTCTACTGGGACCCCAAGATTCTCTGGATGGACCCAGGTGGAAACAGAGGCCCAGGGGCCGGGTTTCCCCTTAGGGGTATGGAATAGGGTCCCTCCGAGCACATGATCAACCCACAAATTTGCTTTCAGTGGCAGAACTGAGCTCCGTGTTCTTCCACCCGCAGCCTTCCTCCCGCTCTCCGCTCCATCATTCTTCTTTTCATTTCGGCATCCCTATTTGGCGAGCTGGGCTTTTTTTCATTAGCTGCTGTTGAGCCGTTGGAAACCGAAAGCCAGGGCCGCTTGCTGGGCTGTGGCAAACCAGCCAGAGACTCTCCAATGTTCTAGAATTGAGCAAATACTCTGAAATAGCATCATCCACCATAATTATTCTCACCCTCCTTTTCATTGTCCTGCAGTTTCCATTTCATCTGTCTCATGAAAGGCCAACAGAGATGAGGCTAGGACAGTAAAACTGGAGGGGCAGCGAGCGTACAGGGCGGTTCTGATCCTAGGCTGGGGTGGGCTCTGCCCCCACAGCTCCAGGTGCAGCTGGCGTGAATGTGCTCTTGGCCCAAAAGGGGACGAAGCCTGCCAGTTCTGCTGCTATTTGAAACAACTGGTTAGATGCTGGGTTGTTTCAGGCTCCAAATAACTAATTTCCTTCTTGTTGCAGTTTTGCCAGGATCTCTCTGGGCCAAGGTTTTAAAAGCTGCCCTTGCCTGAGGCTGCATAATGGCCTGGCTGTTCCTTTATAATTAATTTCACTGAGAAAAGAAAAGGCAAAAAAAAAAAAGGGGGGGTCAGTAGACTAATTTCAGAGATGCTTTATTCTGATATTCAAACTGGGTGGGGAGGTAGGCAGGGAAAATTACCTTCATCTGCTAAGTCAGAAGCATCTGGAGGTACAAAGCCAGGGGGTTAGATTATTCCAAATTCAAAGGAAAGAAACCCCCACGCACAAAGATGGGTTTTGCTGCCCTTGTGAAAGCCCCCACCTCCTGGGAATCAGTGTAATATTCTGGGTCTATAAAAAGCTTGAGTGTAGCGGTGTAATTTCTTCCTGTACTCTTTGGCTTCCTTCAGTCCATTTTATTTTCTCACACTGAAAGTAATGGATGAAAAAAGAATTACGTAATTAGTCCCTCCTGATTCAAGTGACAAATCTTTCAGGGTTTTATTACTGGCCAAAATTATTTTGGATTGGAAAAATAGTTTTCACAGCAACCTGGATGTTTTCATGCAAATTCCGTGAGGGTGGAAGTTGGCGAGCTGTCAGAGATGCTATAATGAATAATTTGGTGTTAAGCTGTGGTGCAGTGCCAGCAAGAAATCCAAAATATCTGGCCAGTGTCTGCTAGATGCAGGAACCTGCAAGTTTTGCACCTCCACAGAACAATTGAGCAGCTATAATGCTCCATGTGTGCAGCTAGAAATCTGTGCTCACAGTGGCAAGACTATTCTTGTTAAACCAGCGTGTCTTTATTAACCGAAACGGTGTTTCCTGGTTAGTGTACAAGTGAGTGAACTGGTTCCTTGCTATTCTTACCGCTGCTATAATTGTGCTATGTTTCAGTAGTGCTTTATGAGTGTGCAAAAGGGGTTCACAGGCAAGAATGTCAGACCTTCTGCAAGATGTGCTCTCCAGATGTGTTGGATGGCGACTCCCATTTAGCCTCAAACATCTGGAATACAGCAGGTTAGGGGAAGGGCTGCTTTATTGTTTTCTGTAATCTGCCTAGCAGATCCTATTGGAGTATTCATTGCAGAATATAAGTTTAATAATAAATTAAAAGTGCATCACATGGGCCTACGATATTTTCTTCCACTCTGAGAGTTAATCTCCAGTGCAAATTTGCCACATGTTTAGCAGCTCTTCCCTCTCCAGAGGGAACCTCGGAAAACTGTAGCTTCAGAGGTGCTTTAGGGATCTCCAACAGAGAGCACTATAAAAAAACCCACTACATTTCCCAAGATTCTATAGGTGAATTTGGGATAGTGAAACTGTCATGAATCCCATACATGCCTATAGTGCGGGTGTGTCCAGATGCAGCAGAGTTCCAGTTCACACCTGTTGTTTTCTCCCTAATCCCAGCAGCAAGCAGAGTTCCTTCATGGTGGTGCTGCTGCTGGTGAAATGTACTCTGTCCATTCTCAGAGTGTTTCACATTCTTGGACCAGAGGCTGCAGGTCAGAGCCTGGCATTCTTACTTAGCCTCCAGTCAACTGACGGAATGTCCGGTCTCTGCTCAGATCTTTGTCAGGCCTCCAAAACATGAGGATCCCAAGAGATGGCTTTATGCATGCCACATGTGGGTCCTGCAAGGAGAAAAACGTAATTTGAAAAGCTGCCTCATACTGCTGGCCAAGCTGGCTCAGGGTTCTCCTGTGAATAACGGACAGGTGCTCGTTACAGCAGCCTTCCCCCACTTGGAGCCCTCCAAGCATGCTGGACCACAGCTCCCAGTGCTCCTGGCCGACTGGGGCTGACAAGAGCCAGAAGGAGCAGGGCAGGTGGAGGAAGGGGTGTCTGGGTTCGCTTTTATCCTTTCTGCCACTGTTTTTGCTACAGTTCAAACCTGTCTTGCTCATATGGCCGTGTCTGTCAACACTTTCACCTCCAGAATTGTCACAGATCTCCACAACAGCACCTTCGGAGTCAAAAAACTGGCAATTCTCTTGCCAGCTGCTTAGAAATTGAGGTGCCTGACTGGAGTTTTCCATGCCTGGCGGTGGGCCAAAGCGGGAGCATAGGAAGCTGGGACAAACCTCAGCGTGAGGCATTTCCCTGTGGAACTCAGCAAGGTGCTGGTGGTTGGTTGGGTTTTTAAAGTATCTTTTGGGGTGCTCTGTGCATGCTCAAAGGCAGTGTGTTCATTAAGGAACTGAGAAGAATACCTATTCTGAGGCTGTGATCCTGCACATGGTTCCCTGAGAGTTATGCCCTGCATGCAAAGATGCATATCCTAGTCGCTTTGTTCCCTGGGGAATATTATGGGGGAGATCCCGTTGCTGGTGCAGTGCCTCCACACCTGGCCCTGCCTCGTCCTGGTCTCCCTCGTGCCTCCTGGAGACATTTTATCCCAACAAGCCTGTTCTGACTAACCAGCCACAGTTTTATGGGCACAATTTACGTTAATTCTGTGTTTCGATTCTCTCTTTTTTCCTCTTTATTATTCACCTCTAGCTCAATCCTTGAAAAACATATAAAAATAAGCCCATAGTTCCTGCTGCCCCCACAGCCCAAGGAAGAATTAAGCAGGAAGACTGCAGCGTTCCCCTGGCCTGAGATAGACTGCCTCTGACCCATGGAGGCTCCATTGAGCTGTGGTGACTGGGCAGATATCCCGAAAACTGCCTCGATCGCGGGCGGGGGGCAGCCGGCGCTGTCCCCGAGCGTTTCGGCTTGCAGGTGTTTTGGATCGCACCGCCCATTCATTGGCCCTGCGGCCGCGGCTGATGAGCACTGGTCCAAAGCACCTGCAGCGCCGCGCGCGGCTTCTCCCCAGCGCCGGCGCCCCTCGCCCCGCTCTCCCCCCGCCCCTCGCCCCCCGCCGCCGCTTCGCTTCCCTTCCCGGGGGCGGGCCGGGGGCGGGCCCGGCTGGCTGGCTGGCTGCGGTCGGGACGCTCCGGTAGTGTCTCCGCGGCTCCCGGCAGCTGCGAAGGAGCCCCGCCGGGCCGCCCCCCTCGCCCTCCCCGCGAGCCGAGCCCAGCCCAGCCCAGCCCAGCCCAGCCGAGCCGAGAGAAGCGCCCCAGCCCAGCCAGCCAGCCCGGCGCAGCCCAGCCATGGCCGAGGGAGGCGGAGAGGGCGAGGATGATATCCTCTTCCTCCGGACCGTGAG